ACTCTAAGTGAAAGGTGAAGTCCTCATATTCTCCTAGATGGCCCTGGGCTTCCTCTTACTTCCTCTCTTCTCTTTCACTTCACTCCCGCCACACCAGCCTCCTTACTGTTCCTTAAACATGCCAACTTCACTCTCAACATCCGGCTATTGTACTTGCTGAAGTGCTTTGTCTCCACTTATGAGTAGCTTGCTTTCTCACTTCCTTCAAACATCCACTCAAATGGCACTTCAGGACAAAGGCCTGCCCTTACCACCATATCTAAAATGTCATCACCTATTCCACCTGCCCCCATTCCATTACTCCCTGTCTCTTATAACCAAATTAATTTTCTCCATAAAACTTATCACTACATGACATATTAGTATTATTTTGTATTTTGTTTAGCAGTTTATTGTCTGCGACCCCATTAGAATATAGGTACATGAAGATGGAGATTTTACCTGTTTTGTTCACTATTGTACCTGCTGTGACTAGACAGAGTTTGGCACACAGTAGATGCTCTTTTAATGAGTCAGGTTGGAATATAGTGTGTGTGGGAAGGGACTGTGAGAGATGATGCTGGGAAGTTGGACAGACTGTGAAGAGTCTTAAAGGAACTCAGACTTTATTCCATAGAAGGGGAATCACTGAAGGTTTTTACGCAGACCACACTGGACGACTCTCTGTGCTCAAGCAAAATGGGCCCAGGACTGGCAATCTCTCTCAGATGGGCACCAGAGATTCTCTGGACAACAGGTCAGAGCCAGCATGCAGCCAAGGGATCACATTCCTATTTCTGTTCTTCTATATATAGTTCAGCAGAAAGTAATTATAGTAGCCACATCAAAAGAAGAAAATTATATTCTGGATCAAATATAGCTAGACTTCACTATAATCAGTGGACAGCCTGATCCCCGAGGCACATGCTTCCTCACAATATAGTACTGATTCAGAAAGACCCATGATGGCACATGATAAGTGAGAGGCCAGCAAAGCACAGACCACAGGCTCATGGAAAAATTATCCAGGGCTTCATTACAAAAACCTCTATTCGTATTTTGCCAACTACTTCACATCCCATTTCCATTTGCAAAACAGTTTCTTCTTGTTCTAATTATGCCCAACAAAAATGACTTAAAATTTCAGACAATGGAACAAAAACTGTCATTGTACCAAATTGGTATGTAGAACTAAACCAATGCATACTAGATTTTTGGACAAGGTCATGCATTCAACACATGCATACTTGATCAAAAGAATTGGGAGATAAAAAGAGTTGGGGAGCTCAGGCTAGAATTTCTCTTACTCCTGCCCCTGCTCCCTTCATTATTACTTACCAGCAGCAGGAGTCAGTCCCCATTACTCTCCAAACTGAGGGCAGGTCTCACTGAGTAATGGAACCTGAGGAGCTATAGATAGAGATTATGGAGCCTATCTATTCAAAGGCAGCTAGTGCATGCCTATTATGTGCCAGGCATTATTTGGAACAGGTGACATCCTTTCCTTATCCTGGGCTATTGGCTGGTTCCCCAACATGTCTAGCACCTTCTCCTGCCTTAGAGGCTTTACATTAGGCATTCTCTTTCACCAGACTGCAGAAAGAAGTGGGGCAATGAAGCAGTCATGTGAAGAAGCAGAGATGAGAACCCAATATTCTGTTCCTTTCTGATTCCAGTTCCAGCCATACTTCACTTCCTATCATTGGATTTCTATGAGATCTAATAATCCCCTTGGAGTATCTGTCCTTTGCCACCAGATATACTTTAACTGCTTATCATTCCCCTTGTGCTGTTAGCTGCTTGAGTATAGGTGCTATGTATGACTTTTATTTCACTGTAAGTGAGTTGTCCCTCATATATGCCTTCCACACACTAGGCATTACTGCTACCCACAATCCTATTCAGCAACACGGACTACGGAAGGCATTTCCCTTCAGATGAACCTCCTCGGTTCCACATTTGGCTGCCAGAGTCAACCTGTGCTGGAACAGGTATCAAATCTACCACTTTTACACACTCCAAAACATCCATTTCAGGTAGGAGTTTTTACTGATAAGGAAAGGCAACCTCCTGTTGGAATCAGATTTAAAGGGTAAAATGAAACAGAAAGGAGGCCTAGAATCTTGATTTACAGTTTTGAACAGAAATAGATCAAAAGATAACATCAAATGTTTGCTGAGGGTAGCTGCTGACAGGGCAAAAACTAGCAAAAAAAGGTTCCCTATGAGTCCTAACAACTCAAGCACCTAACACAATGCAAAACAGACCCATGTAAGGCACTCAATACATATTTGTTGAGTAAATAAATAATCAAGAGCTAAATGAATTAATGGATGAAGTGTGGTATACAGAAAAGAATATTGGGTTAGTAATCCCAATACTAAAGACCTGGGTTCCTATTTCAGCACCGTCTCTTATAGTTGTGTGACTTTAAGCGAGAGACATTTCTCTTAATCTCTATTTTCCTAATATGTAAAATTGTGGGATAACAATACCTACTCTGACTACCTCATAGAAATGTATGAGGATAAAACAAAAATATGAAAATATTTTATAAACTGTAAGTGCTAAACAGATATAAGGCATAAAAGATAAGGGATTAACAATGAGGTAAAAAGATAATGATGCTAGATGATATCTTGGGAGAAACAGTGAACATCAAAGGGGAAGTATTTTTGTTTTTATTTTAAATATATCTTTATTGATTTCAGAGAGAGGAGAGGGAGAGAGAGAGAAACATCAATGATGAGGGAGCCATTGATTGGCTGCCTCCTGCACACCCCCTACTGGGGACCGAGCCTGCAACCCGGGCATATACCCTGACCTGGAACTGAACTTTGATCTCCTGGATCATACGTTGATGCTCAACTGCTGAGCCACACTGGCCGGGCAAGGGGGAAGTTTTAATGATTTCAAATCCCTAGATCACTTTTTTTTTAAATAATTTTTTTTAATTTTTTTTTTTTTTAATTGATTTCAGAGAGAGGAAGGGAGAGAAAGAGAGAGATAGGAACATCAAGGATGAGAGAGTCGAGAGTCGTTGATCAGCTGCCTCATGCACACCCCCTACTGGGGGGTCAAGCCCACAACCCAGGCATGTGCCTTGACCTGGAGTCAAACTGTGACCTCCTGGTTCATAGGTTGATGCTCAACCACTGAGCCATGTTGGTCAGGCTAGAACACTTTTTAAACAAAGCAGACTCATAAGTTAGAAGTTCATAAAATCTAGCTCTACTTTTAAAAAAGTAAAATTATCTGTTTGCAGACATGATCCTATATGCAGAAAATCCTAAAGATTCTACACAAAAAAACCTGTTAGAACTAATAAATGAGTTCAGCAAAGTTGCAGGATACAAAATCAACAACACTCCCCAAATCAATTGCATTTCTATAAACTAACAATGAACAATCCAAAAAGGAAATTAAGAAAACAATTCCAACCCTGGCCGGCATGTGCCAGTGGTTAGCACACTGGCCAGCCCACCAAAGAATCACAGGTTTGATTCCCTGTCAAGAGCACGTACCTAGGTTTTGGGTTTGCTCATGCCCCCCCCAGTTGGGGTGCATGCAAAAGGCAGCCAGTAGCAACCAGACAATGTGTCTCTCTCACATCGATATTTTTCTCTCTCTCTTCCCATCCCTTCCTCCCTTCCACTCTCTCTGAAAAGCAATGGAAAAAATATCCTCAGGTGAGGATTAAAAAAACCAATACAATTCCATTTACAATGGCATCAAAAAGAATAAAATACTTAGGAATAAACTTAACTAAGGAGGCAAAAAGACTTGTACTCTGAAAACTACAAAATGCTACTGAAAGAAATTAAGACAATACAAATAAATGAAAGAGAAACATTTGTATTCATGGATTGGTTAAGATGTCAATGCACAAAGCAAATCAATAGATTTGATATGACTATCAAAATCCCAGTGAGATTTTTGCAGAAATAAGAAATACATACTAAAATTCATGTGGCATCTTAAGGGGCCCCAATACCCAAAATAATCTTGAAAAAGAACAGAGTTGGAAAACTCACATTTCCTGATTTCAGAAGTTACTACAAAGTAAGAATAATCAAAAGTGTTGCACTAGTATAAAGACAGACATAGACCAATGGAATAGATTAGAGAGTGGATTCCAAGTCAAAGTTTGAGATACCTGTGGGATACTAGTTAGGGATATGGAAGTCATTGAGGCATCTACAGTCTTAGAAAGGACGTGATTACCCAGGGAGAGAATATACAGATCAATAAATTATTATTCATATATTTGGCTAATTCTTACAATAGTTAGAAGAGTTAAAATACACCCTTTTCCTCACCTAAATAATACTTACTTTGTAGATAATGCATACTGAGAGCAAGGACTTTATCATAGTTTTTGTATGCCTAGGTTTGCAATGCCTGGAACAAGCTGACTGCAACAAAAGTTTGCTAAAGCTTTAAACAAAACAAAACCCCAAAACTTAATAACTGGACAGAATTAGAAAAATACTACACAACATGAGAACCACTATTTCCTGACCAAACTATAACATAGTTTTCTCATTTCCTCTGTGTAGTAAGTGACAAATTACAAATGCAGTTTTTCTGCACCACAATGTCTGTTTTATGAATTCTTCTGCTGTAAGTAGTAGTGAGACAATGAGACAGACACTCATCCACCACTGGGTACAGATAAGGACTTTCTGGAATAAGTTTGGCAAAATGTATCAAAAGCCTTAAAGACTTAACTTAGTAATCTTATTTTGTAATGTATCCAAAGAAAACAATAAGACATGTGGCCAAAAGTTTAGGTTGGAAGTAATAAAAAAATATCCAACAATAGAAAAATTATTAAATAAAACATCACGTAGCGGCTCTTAAATCAAGTTTGAAGAACACATAAGACACCAGAAAATGCTTTTGGTAAGTAGAAACCTAATATTCTTTATATTTTTCAGTATTTCTAACATTTCTGTAAAAAGTACATTTGCATTTTAAAGCAGAAAACCCGTGATAAATAAAATCCAGATAGCACTCACCTTCTTTCTTTTTCTCGAATTCTTCGTAGGGTCAGGCTTGTCAAACTCTGCTGGCTTTGCCTCTTCCTCCTCACCCTCGTCAGGTATCAGAGAGTACTTGGTCCCACCTGGCTGCATGAAACAATCCTTTGCAAAGTGGCCTGCGAAGAAAATCGAAAATTGGAATGGCAGGGAGAATGGGGCGGTCTTCCCTCTCAGCGGGCAGGTCTTCCTCAGAGGCCCCTGCCCCTGCCCCTGCCCCTGCCCCTGCCCCTGCCCCTGCCCCTGCCCCTGCTCCTGGAAGGGGCTGACTGGTGCAGGAGGCATTATGAGCTTATTGAGAGCAGCTAGTGGATTCAGAGCAGATTTTCTGTCACCTCAGGATGGCGTTGCTCACTCAGCCAGAGCCAGACTAGCAGCTGGTCCTAAAGCTATGGGACACACTGGCTCTGCTTTGGAAATGGCAGTGGACACAAGGATACAGGCTGGTGCTGCCCTCTATTAGCAATGAAGCTTAGTAATTTTTAAAGATCTATTTGGAACTTATTCCTAACAGCAAAAGGTTGCTCCAGAGAGCACAATGCTTAGCAGAGGGAGCCAAGTGGCAGGTCAAGGCCCTGAAGCAAGATAGCTCTTAGGTAGCTGGCAGGAAGACAGCATCCAAGCTAACACATAGAGACAGGCACAGTCACCTAGGGGCACTCAACATTCACAGACTGTCAGGTCTGGCAAGGGCCTTAGAGATCATCAAATCCAACAATGCAATTGCAGAGGATACGGAAGTCCAGAGTAGGGAAGTAGCGCAAGGTCACGCAGATAGCAGCAGAGGTAAAACTTACCTGGTGTCTTGTGCCTCCCTGCCCTACACTCTTTTTGCTGCACCAAAACCAACCACCTTTTAGCCCAGCCTTTGCTGACCAGGCCAAATTTCATCTCTCATTATTCTTCTCTGCCTCATATAATACCTGGTGGACACAAGCTGAAGGTACAAAGACCCTGAGCCTACAGTGCTATTGAGGGCCCCTTTAACATATGCTATAGAGCTGGTTTTGTCTGAGCTTACTGTAGACCCTATCTCAGGGGCACAGAGAATTGAGTAAAATCATCAAAAGCAGTATGCAAACTACTTTGTAACTCTGAATCCAGGAGCTGGATGGTGCCAGGAAGAACACAGCAGAATTTTCCAAATATCTTGAATGCTCCCACAATTCCCGAGGAGGTATTCTTTCTCTCAATTTTATTCTCCCTTCCTCCCTCTACATTCATGATAAATAGGAACTTAAACTCCACTTCAACCAGGGCACAAAGATGCTACCAGCAGTTGTAGAAAAATCAACAAGGCTAGGTAGATGCAAGGCTAGGGCGACGTGGTGACAAATTGAGGTCACTCTGAAAATGAGAAGTTGGCAATCCCTCTCATTACAGCTCCAACAAGGAAGTCAGGCTGAAAGAGCTCTTTAATATTTGAGTAAGACTGGAGGAAACCTGAGGAAACCGAGCTAAAAGGAAATGACTAGAGTGCCCCTTATTACTAAAAGGATACTGCACCCAGAACTCCAAAGTTGAAGAAATGAGCAAGAAAGGGTTTAACTTGGATCCTTAAGGCATATATTTCTAAGTTGCTTAATTCTTGCAGCAGAACAATAATGGTCCTTGGAGATAAAATTTAGAGTGTTAATCATAATCCAACACTCTTACCTCCTGGCATAGTACCTGGGGCCTTGCCTAGGTAAGGGCATCAGCTGCAAAGGTGGGGGGAGAGGTAGTGATAGTATATATGGTATCACCACGAGGGACAGCAACAGGGCTAGCATTCAGAAAAGGAAACGGAAAAAGTAGTAAGTCATGAACTCTGATGTAAGTCTAGTAGGAGTAACAACATGAACAGGTGAGGCCATCACTTGGCTTAAAAACAGGGTGAACTAAACTCACTAGGCTGCTCATCGGGTAGATAAAGGGTCTGCCCACAAGGAGAGAAAAACTGAAATAGCAGAGGCTTCATCTTACCTTTACAGCCACACTTCTTGCAGGTAGTGTTCAGGACAGCCTCGAGGGTGATCTTCTGTCCAGTGTAATCCTGGAAGGACCGCCTCCGCCTCTCTTCTTGCCTGTAACGAAAAGGATACTGTGACTGTTGGCCCTCTTTAGAGATGTAGACAGAGATACTACAAGGCAATGCAGTATGTTAGGTTTTTTGTTTGTTTGTTTTTTTAAAATATATCTTTATTGATTTCAGAAAGAGGAAAGGGGAGGGAGAGGGAGAGATAGAAACATCAATGATGAGAAAGTCATTGATCGAGCCTGCAACCCAGGCATGTGCACTGACGGAGAGTCGAAACCCCAATCGCCTGGATCCTAGGTCGACGCTCAACCACTGAGCCACACCCAGCCAGGCAGTATGCTAGTTTTTTGTTTTGCTTTTGGCAGGTAGAAGGGAGAACGAAGGAAAAGTGTTGCGCATAAGCAGATGGGCAATAATGAAATAGACACTTTTTCATTTAGGACAAGGCTCTGAATTAATAATTATAAATGAAATTAGACTTTATCTCATTGATCACAGAGGATAGACATAATTATTCACCCTGCTAAGTCCCCTACAACCCTTATAAGATCACTCCCGGGTTTAAAAGACCTTCAAAGGCTTCCTGGAAAATCAAGTCTAAATTCCTTACGTTGGAGTTGGAGTCCTTTCACCATCTGCCTCTAACCTACTTTTCCAGCCTCATCTTTACTTGAACAATATGCTCTAGCCAAATCAGACTATTTTACCTTCTCCAGATGGTTCACTGCTTTTGCTCATGCAGCTCTCTCTCTAAAATGCTCTGCTTCTCTTCTTTACTCCCACTTCACCCAAACACTGCAAGGCTCAGCTGAATTACCACTTCTCCTTCTATCAGGTCTTCTCTGAGTCACTCAGTCAAAATTAATCTTTGTTCATATTCCCATAGCACATTAAGAAATTCTAAACTTGGGGGGGAGGGGAGATTAACCAAAGAACTTATATGCATATATACATAACCCATAGTCAGACAATGGTGCTGTGAAGACCTGGGGAGGAGGTAGGAACTGGGTGGAGGGGGTCAGTGGAGAGAAAAAAAGGGGACATCTATAATACTTTCAACAAAAATAAATTTTTAAAAAATTCTCAACTGTTGACCAAGGTACAATATACATGAAGAAAAGTGTTTATAGCATACAGCTTGACTGATTTTCACAATTTGAAAATACCCAAGTAACCAGTACTGAGATAAAGAAACAGAACATTACCAGCATTTCAGAAGCCCCTCTAGTTACCATGCCTCCCCCAATGGTAACCACTATTCATTCTAATTTCTAATAACACAGATTAGTTTTACCTATTTTTGTAAATTATATAAATGAAATCACAGAATATGGAACCCTTCTGTGTCTGTTTTCCCCCCCACTTGTTTGTGAGATCCATCCATATTGTTGTGTGTACAGTAGTTTGTTCTAACTTGCTGTATTTTGCTGTTGATGTAAAGTATCTGAGTAACTTCTATTATGAACAGTGCTTCTATGAACTTTCTAACACATGTCTTTCTGATTCAAGTCTAACTCTAAAACCTGAGTTCATTCCCCCATGCCATGCTTTTTTCCTGGGTGAACTCTAGAAATTGTTTATAACAAAAGTTATTGTTCAGCCACTTGGTTATTACTAGAAACAGTCTATACTCAGGAAGCCCTTTCCCTTCCCGATCCTTGTTTTGAGAAAGAGAGGTAGCTCTTTTATCTTACTTGTTTTCATATTTTACCCTTACAAGGGTGGCTTTAAGACATTTCACTGCTTCTTAATGAGCCTGTATAGCATATAATTATTTGGAGTAGAAGCAATTTATTACAATGCAATTGATAAGTGCCAGAATTAAATAACATTTCTGAGCTGAGTTATAAAAGATTACTACTGTAAATGGAAAGTGTTTTGTCAATAACCAGCCCCACAAACATGTCAATATTTAGAGACTAAACTACAGATATATGAAAAACTCTGTAAGTCACATGCAACAGCTAGAAGCGTCATGTGGTGAAAGGGGCATTAGCTTTAATGTCAGGGAGACCGAGATTAAAGATCCTAACCCACTATAATTTGCTATAAAACCACAGCCAAGTTATTACCAGGCATCAAGCTAGAAACTAGGGATACAAAGTAAAATGGAGGGAGCACCTACTTTGCAGGTTGTTATGAGAATCACATTCACTAATGTACATAAACTGCCTTGCATAATACCTGGTACATTGTATATATTCAATAAATATCACTTCCCTTCCTTAAACCCCCAAGACCCCTTTTCAACAGATTTTAAGGATCTAAGAACCCTTGGTTAGAAATCACTGTCATAGTCAAGAAATACTTTGAGACAGATGAAAAATTCCCTGTATCACCAGACATTATCCTACATAAATAGAAAATCTTCCACTCCTAAACTAAAGGTCAGAAGAGCCCATGAAAGTAAGGTGTTGTGTTCAGAACACAGTGTATCCCAAGACACAGGCATCTAAACCCAACTGGAGTTGCTCCTAGATTACCCTCCCCTCCCATTTGGTCTTTTCCTTTTTCAGCCCCAGTGCTAGAAGAGTGGCAACTAACAGGTGAATACTTGTTGGCTGACTGGTTAACTTCTGTGCTAGGAGCTTCGCATGTTAGAAGTGTTGTCTGTAACACTTCATACCTCTAAAACCCAAAGATCATAGAGGTTATATAACTCATCTATTTCACAGTCTATAAATGGCAGGGTTTCCAGGTCAGCCTGATTCACTACAGCATTCCATGGTTTGAGAGGTAGGAAAATTTTAGCTTTTGCAAACTTTTTACCTACTCGATGATAACGTTGTTGGGGTCAAGGTCTTTTCCAGTCCCTTGGTTGACAACTTTCATGGAGAGGGATACTTTTATCCTATCATTTTTCATCTGAAAAAGACAAAAGCAAAGTCACCAAAAGCTCAAAGTACATCATTTAGACCGCTGGTCTAGAATTATCTGACTAAGAATTGAAGTATTCATCATCATAGCAAACACTGAACTCCAACAGCCAAGGTCCTGTGCTAAGAGCATTGATGGTACTAACAAACATAATAGGCAGATCTTATGGCAGAAGAATTTTTAGAAAATGATTTTCATCTCATTCTTGTCCCTCTTGGGGGGAAAGACAAAAATGGTTGTTCAGAAATCTAAGGCCTACCGAAGTAACCCAGCAGAAAGGAAAAGCTGTTTCTTTTAGGTAGGTTCAACATAATGATCAATGCAGAGATCGATGAGCCCAGAATGGGTTTTAGAACATTCCAGTAGGCTAGATGTCCTTTCGGACTTGGTCTAGAGGCTCTATACACATGAAGACAACTGTTAGCCACAATGGTCTTCTGCTTCCTCCAGCACTTGAACCCTTCTTCACTCCAGGGTCTTTACACTAGCTATTCTCTACCTAGAAAATCTTTATCCCAACTTTTCATGACTATTTCCCTTTCCTTTGGGTCCCAGCTCATATACCATCTCCTCAGAAAGCCTGTTCCTGAGGACTTTATCTAAATCTACTTATGATATTATTTGAACCCATTACAGCACTTACCACTATTTTCAGTTATTTTAACTTGTTTACTTTTTGTTTCCTCCAGTTATATTCTATGCGAGCTCTATAACAGCTGGGATCATTTATGTCTGGTTCACTCTTGTATCCCTCAGACCTAGTGCATATGAAGCACTCAACTACTGTTGAATAATATCTCTTTCAGGCATCTCCCCTGCCATTTTCTGGTAGAAGGGCAGGCCTCAGTGTATGTTCGTATTTCTCCTGTGGTCTGCCCACACCCACAGCCCACATACCCTCAAGTGAGCTTCAGAACTTTCAGAGTCATCCAGAGCTTTCTCACTTCCCTCATGTTGCATGGTGCCAGTTATTAGGAAAAGTGATTATAAATTCTATGTTCTTTTTTGTTTTGGTACAAACTGAAGTGTACCTGGCAAGAATTCTTTAACATCTGTGATAAAGAATATTAAAGCTAGTCCCATAGGTTAAGTGTCCTTCTCTCCTTTTGGTTCTTTACTTTTTTGGCTTTTCTTCACAACCACCATTTGGGTAAACTTCAGGGAGGGAAGTCTTATAAACATGCACTTGTTGCACCACACTTACTGTAGTTCACATTATTCCTTCTGAGTGTGTAGGAGAACCAGCCAGAAGGTTTATATTCAGGTCAGATTATGGTGGCAGGATTCAAAATAAGATTCTCAGTCACAGTTAACAACATATTCACACTGACCATCATAAATACCAAGAAAATCCCAGCTTTTCCTAATCCTTTCTAACCAGGTGAAAGTTGCACAGAACTTTACCTCTCGGCCTATAAGCTTCACCCATACTTTGTCTCCAACATCAACTATCTCAGAAGGCTTATCCACACGACAGGATGACATGTGAGTTCGATGGACCAAACCTGGGCACAAGAAAAAGAAAGAAAGCACAAGGCATGTCTGGTGTTATACTCTAAGTATACTCTAAATAACAAGGTAACAAAAAGATGGAAATTGGGAATTCATTGAAAAAAATGTTCATTAATTTAAAATTGCAAATTAAAACTATTTGAGCCCAGCCGGACGTGGCTTAGCGGTTGAGCGTCGACCTAGGATCCAGGCGATCGGGGTTCGATTCCCGGTCAGGGCACATGCCCGGGTTGCGGGCTCAATCCCCAGTCGGGGGCGTGCATGAGGCAGCCAATCAATGACTCTCTCATCATTGATGTTTCTAGCTCTCTCTCTCTATCCCTCCCTCTCTCTGAAATCAATAAAAAATGTATATATATTAAAAAAAAGAAAAAGAAGAAATATTGTTAGGGCTAGTATAAATTTTTAGAAATCATTTAGCAATGGTTATCAAGAATGATAAAAAATTTTAATAAAATTAATTTTAAAATATGTAATAATTATTAAATAACTTAATGACACTTAATAAAATATTGACAACAGATATCCTTTTCCTGTCTGCTCAAGGTCCTTTCCTGAGTGAACACCTTCATTACATTCTAAAGTAATCTGGTCAGTCCATGTAATTTGATTGAAGCTGACCTAACCCCCAACTGTGGGCACATAACACAGGCTCAGTCAATCAAGGTACTTCATGCCCTGGCTGAGTAGCTCAGTTGGTTAGAGCATCATCCCAATACGCTAAGGTTTCGGGTTCAATCCCTGGTCAGGGCACATATAAGAATCAAGAAATGAACGTATAAATAAGTGGAACCGCAAATCAATGTTTCTCTCCCCCTCTCTCCTAAAATAAAAATTTTAAAAAGGTACTTCAGCCCGGCCAGGCGTGGCTCAGTGGTTGAGCATCAACCTAGGATCCAGGAGATTGGGGTTCGATTCCTGGTCAGGGCACACACCCGGGTTGTGGGCTAGGCAGCTGATCAATGACTCTCTCTCTCATCATTGATGTTTCTATCTCTCTCTCTCCCCCTCCTTTCCTCTCTGAAATCAATAAAGATATATTTTTTTAAAAAAAAGGTACTTCACCCTGCTGGCCACAGCAATTCATTGGTTCACAGACAGACACAAGACACTAGCTAAATCAAATCATCTTTCTCAAGACTTTTGTCAGGATTATAAACTACAAAAAGTTATTAATGCCCATCTTTACCACCAGGTGGCAACAGTCAGCCAGAGGGAAGCAAAGAAGAGCATCAGTAACTAGAGACAGAGCCCTGAAGGTGTAAACTGAGCATTGATACAGACAGCTCTGGTGGAAGCTAGATTTATCCTGCACTCCCCCGCAAAACTAACAAAATGTTTCTCACTTATGTTTCTGTCCCTTGCACCAAGAGTTCTAACTAATAATTAATTTGGCACAATCACTTCTGGGACTCTGTCCTAAGAAAACAATCTTATACATAGAAAAAGCTATATGCATCTGGGAAAGCAATCTACATCAAAATACACAATGTATTTTTTTTTAATCCTCACCTGAGGATATTTTTTCCATTGCTTTTCAGAGAGAGTGAAAAGGGGGAACATCAATGGGGGAGAGACACACTGACTGGTTGCCTCCCACACACGCCCAGTCTCAAGCCTCCAACAGAGGTCCATACGTGCTCTTGGCCAGAATCGAACCTAGGACCCTCCAGTCCACAGGCTGACGCTCTAACCACTGAGCCAAACTGGCTAGGGCGACACAATGTATTTTTAAGACAGAAAAAAATGAGAAACAACCTAATACCCAACAATAGGGTAATGGAAAATGAACTATAGGATAGTTACTTGATGGTCCGTATGTTCAAAAGATTACATAAAAATATGCCAATAATTCATTTTTAGTAAATATTTATTGAGTGCCTACTATGTGCCAAACACTATAGGCAACTAGTATTTTTTCATGTAAATAACAAAACACAACGTAAAGTTGTATAATGTAATTACAAATGCTTAAATTAGGTCTTTAAAATTACAAAAAATGCTATGAAATGCTATAACAATGGTTTAACTAGGATATTGAATTACAGGATTTTTTCTTTTATTTTCAAATGTTTTAGTCATGGAGAAAACTATATCTATTCTGAGGGAAATAGATAAAATTAACAATTTTGAATGAATATAAACCAGGAATCAAAGGAAAGAAAAAACTAATAGATCAAGCGAAGATTTATATCTACAATAACTGCCCTCCCTAAAGATTGTTGGGGAAATTAGTAACCTTTATTCTCTTTTTCTCAATCTCTCTCTCACACACATGCATTCACACAGGTGTCAGCACATGCCTACAAGTCAAAGTATTGGCCCTCTCTGTTCGGAGCTCCTACTGAAGCCACTGCTTTCTCTGACCATGGTCACTGGGCCTCACAAACCTACTCCAGCTGACTCTGGAGGCTGATAGCCTATCTCCCTGAATAACTCTGGGGCTCCAAAGTGTTTTATATACCCATTTTTAATTTTAGACCATCACATAATCTCCAAATTCAGTACATTTCAAGGAGTTCGGGGTTTTGCCTACCCCATGATGATATAATGAACAGACCAGCCTAACTGGAAAGTCTGGAGAGTAAACTCAGATGCCCTAGTCTCTAGCCCTAGAGGAAAGGGAAACCTTTCACTTTGGCAGTTTTTGGCCACAACAGTCCTCTAATTCTAAAATTCACTTCTTTCCTCATTGCTAATGGAAGTTGTGAAGAAAATGAATGATGAACCTAATATACTTGAGAAGGTCTATTTATTGGAGTACCAAAATAAAAGAAAGAACGGCACTGACCATTTGTCCTTCTCCCACCTGATCTCAAAGGTTATTTTTCGGTCCGGTCATCACTAGCCACATAATTGTTTTAAGTTTAAATTTAAATAAACAACATTTTAAAAGTCAGTGGCTACTGTATTGGGACAGTACAGATGTGAAATAACACAAATATATTTAGTCTTTGTCCCCAGTCCCTGTACAGAACTCCTAAAGTTTTGAAATTTTCCCAGTGATAGAAGTGTCTTTTGTTATTCATAACAAGCCCCTTCTGATCACACCAGAGTTTACACTAATGACTCTGAGTGGGGCCTCTAGACAGTCTCTGGATGGGGATAGTCACCAGAATGACCAAGTGATTACAGAATTGGAACTTTCTGTCCCACAGCCCTCCAGAAAAGAAGGGGAAAGGCTGGAGATAGAGCTCTATAAAAATTCTTGAACAATGAAATTCAGAGAGCTTCAGGTTAGCAAACACATCAGATTGCTGGGAGAGTGGTATGCCAGAAAGGACAAAGAAGCTCAGCGTGCCCGACTTCCATAACCTGCCCTATGCATTTCTTCCATTGGGCTGTTTCTGACTGCATACTTTAAAATAAACGAGCAAACAGCCCAGCCAGGCATGGCTCAGCGGTTGAGCGTCGACCTAGGATCCAGGCGATTAGGGTTCGATTCCCGATTGGGGCACATGCCCGGGTTGCAGGCTGCAGCTGATCAATGGTTCCCTCATCATTGATGTTTCTATCTCTCTCTCTCCCTCTCCCTTCCTCCCTCTGAAATCAATAAAGATATATTTTAAAAATAAAAAAAATAAACAAGCAAACATAAGAAAAGTTTTTCCTGAACTCTGTAGCAAATTATCAAACTTGTGGAGAGGGTTGTGGGACCCCCGATTCATAGCCAGCCAGTCAGAAGTACAGGTGGCTTAGAACTTTCAACTGGCGTCTTATGGGAATGACACCCTTTAACTTATGGGACCCATCAATAACTCCAGGTAGATAGTGTCAGAATTTAATTGTATTGTTAGACACCAAGTTGGTGCTGGGAGAACTGGAGAATTGGTTGATGTCAGAGACACATCAGAACAGAAACAAAACATTTCCATTATTGCAGGAAGTTCTATTGGTCAATACCATGAGAGGGGAAAGAAAATCTAGTTTAGATCTGAATACTGGGAAAGACCTTCAACTCAGTAGTAAAGAATTCTGAGAACAGAAGTCTGAGAAAAGTAGCTCAAATTAGTCTACCTTCCTGAATCAAAAATGTTAAAATCTGGACACCAGTTATTTCATAGCTCAGTCCTTTCAGGGTGGGACTTAATTATCTTCTCCTTTAAAAGTAGAGAATCTAAAATACACTGCAGGAAAGTCAACTGCTCAAGTTATCCAATAAACCTATAGAAGAGCCCAGGATTAGAACTCAGAGTTTCCACCTAATTATTTGGCTCCCTCAGCTCTCCCTCCGAGGCTGGTCTCACTCAGCACAGCTGTCAAACTGACAGAATCACTCGTAAGCTGGCAGCCACAATCAGAGGCATCATCTGACAGGGCATGTACACAAGTGAGATGAAGACTGACTGATGGAAGGTGGCAGGCCTTTAATACTCACATAGTCCCCAAAGTGTCACATAAATGTTCAAGTAAGGATGTGGCTTTCAGATACTATCAGCTATGGCAAGTACACTAATAAGAAAACCTGTCTTCAGACCAAAGGAGGTGCAAGCCCTATAGGCACAGGGATGAGTTTCCACCTCATTAAATCTGAGTCAACATAAAATGAGAAATGTTATTACAGATTGTTTACTGCTAGCTTGGAAACTACTGGTAAGCCATTTATAATGCAAAAAATGCAATTTGCAGCATAGTATCTCCAAGGCTAGAGCGTATCTTTAATATCCAAAGATCAGCTGTTGGACTTTAAAAATTTTGTTTTAAAAATTGCAAAAAGTGTAAATTCCTCTTTGATGTGCATTTCTTCCTTAGCAAACTGAACTCCTCAGAGGTAACTAATGTTAACAATTTGCTGGATATTCTTCCAGACTCTCCTGAACACACAAGGGGTGGGCAAAAGGAGATTTACAGTTGTGAGTATATGAAACAGAGCTTATTCTTACATTATTATTTATTATTATATTATTTATTTGTATTAAAACTGTAAACCTATTTTTGCCCACCCCTATACACAGTAATTTTTTTTTTTTAAATATATCTTCATTGATTTCAGAGAGAGGAAGGAAGAGGAGAGAAAGAGAGAGAGGAAGAGAAAAACATCAATGTGAGCAAAACACATCAATTGGTTGCCTCCCGTATGCACCCCGACCGGGGCTGGGAATGGAGCCTGCAACCGAGGTATAATGTGCTCTTGGCCACAACTGAACCTGGGACCCTTCAGTCCATGGGCCGACGCTCTAACCACTGAGTCAAACTGGCTAGGGCAACCACACACACACTGTAACATCTTTGAAATCAGAATGGTTCTTATAATCAATAGTGTCTTACAATTGCCATCATCTATGTATAAGTGTGGTAGAATTGTATGAAAACTTTCCATTGACCTTTCCTGGTAAAATGAGGAAGGCACCAGCATCCACGTATCTTAGTTATCATTCATCTGCATTGTCCACTGCATACATGTACATAATATCTAGTGCTATATAACAAACTAAATTCTCTGACGAATTGCTAAATTAAAGGGTAAGCACATGAAAAATGTTAATAGATATTGCCAAAGTCTGTATAACAATTTATGCTCCCAATAGTAAGTAAAACTATTGCTGGAAATACCCATTTCCAATACTGGGTATTAAGAGCAATTTTTAAAAATGTTTGTTAATCTCAAAGATCTTGAGTGTTTTAAATCATTTTTTTTTAATAAAGCTGTATTTATTTATTTATTTATTTATTTATTTATTTATTTATTTCAGAGAGAAAGGGAGACGGAGAGACAGAAACATCAATGATGAGAGAGTCATTGATCGGCTGCCTCCTGCACACCCCCCACTGGGGATCGAGCCCAAACCCTGGGCATGTGCCTGACTGGGAATCAAACCATGACCTCCTGGTTCATAGGTCAACATTCAATTACTGAGCCAAGCTGGCTGGGTGGGATTAACTTCTTTTTTATTCACTGTAATTCTCCAGAGATTGATTCAGATTGTTGTGTATCAATACTTCATTCTTACTCCTTTTTATTGCTGAGTAGTATTCCACTGTATGGATGTACCACTGTTTAAGTTATTTTTTAAATTAATACTGAGAATGAGCATCTTTTAAGAAGATATTTATTGATCAACCGCTATTTTTTTCTCTTGTGAATTCTTTTCATATCCTTGGCCCCTTTTTCTACTTCCCCCCTTTTTTACGAGTCCTTTGTCATAGTACTACAAATTCTTTGTCTCAACTTAACTTTGCTTATAATTTTTGCAATAAAGTTTTTTACTTCTATGCCATCAAATATTATGATGTATTTTCTTCTAATAACATCTTTATAGTTGCATTTTTCCATTATAATCTTTCATTTATTTTAACACAAGAAATTAGCAAGCTGTCTTTGGATTCACTAGCTGTGTGATGCAGTAGAGAGCCCATGAGGCTAGAAATCAGGAGGATTGGGCTCTAGTCCTGGCTGTGCCATTACCTAGCTAAAACACTCTGAGTAGGCTACCAGTCTGTAAAACTTGCCTTTTCTACTTACCACAATTGTTTTGAGAAACAAATAAGATTATAGATGTAAAAGAGATTCTCCAAAAATGTTCAATGAATGTCTATCAATGTATGAAGAAAATTTAAAGTATTATATGTATATATATATTTGTATTGGGTCACAGGTGAAATCTGGGGAATAGCTGGTTCCCAAAGTCAAGCCAAGTAGCTATACTCCAATCCTCCCTACAAGTCAAAGAGCACCATTCTTCTGAGTTAAGACCTGCTAAAAATTAACTGTCATCACTTGTCTGTATTCATTATATCTCTACACAAAAACAAAACTACTGCCTAAAAATATAGAGCCTATACATAGGATGTGGTGGGGGTGACAGCAAAGATAGTGGACTGGGAAGGCTGAATTTCAAGTTATAGGTTCCCACCTTGCTTCCGACAGCCTGGGATTTTGATAAAGGCGCCATAGTCTGTCACCATAGCAACCTATAAAGACAAAGAAGAAAAAAGAATCAATGTCACACAAATGAGTCTCTCTTCTGCAGCATTTAACCTAATCTCCTTGAATTTCTACTTGATATTGACTGCCTCTGTGTGCTGCAAAACTGCCTAACAGTGATGTTCTGTCAAACGTTCTTTCCATTCTTTTTAAAATTTAGACTGACAAGTATGTGTGAACCCATTAAAAACATTGGTGTGCCCGGCAGGTGTGGCTCAGTGCTTGAGCGTGGACCCAGGAACCTGGAGGCTGTGGTTCGATTCCTGGTTAGGGCACATGCCCAGGTTTCAGGCTCGATCCCCAGTGGGGGGGGTGCAGGAGGCAGCCGACTGATGATTCTCTCTCATCATTGATGTTACCATCTCTCCCTTTCCCTTCCTCTCTCTGAAATAAATAAAAAACATATTTTAAAAAAATTGGTGAGATTGCCTGGCCTGGCGTGGCTCAGTGGTTGAGCATCGACCTGGGATCCAGGTGATCGGGGTTCGATTCCAGGGGAAGGGCACATGCCCAGGTTGTGGGCTCGATCAATGACTCCCTCATCATTGATGTTTCTATCTCTCTCTCCCCCTCTCCTTTCCTCTCTGAAATCAATAAAGATATATTTTAAAAAAAAATTGGTGAGATTGGACTACTGTCAGACGGTATGACAGTACCTAGGAATGCCCAAACCCCCACATCTATTGAAATCTCCAAAGTAGTTCATGAACAAAAGGAACAACCAGCAGAAAATCAAGTAATAAAGTTACACTTTATACTAGCTGGGACTGAGGCCTCTAATCCCAATACAGAGAACTCTAACAATATGGGATAAATCATGTAGGACATTCCTTTTTCCTAAACATCAAATCAAACCAGACCATACAGCCTGCTCTAGTTCACTTCAAACCAGAGTCTGAGTTTTATCAAGACAATGGGAGAAAAAGCCAATACATAGACATCTGACAAAAACTGAAAAGATATAATCAGAAAGAGAAAAGAGTTGTCCTCAAGTCTTATGCAAAGTTGACCTAAGGAGGGGTTAGACACAGGGATGGGGTACCTTTTTCCTTCCAAGGGCTATTTGGATATTTACAACATCATTCTCAGGCCATACAAAATTATCAACTTAAAAATTAGCCTGCTATATTTGGTCAAACATTTAATTAACTCACCTCTAACATGATGGCTGGAGCTGCTTCTCTTTGGTGAGACCTTGGCAGGGCCAGACCAAATTATTTCACAGGCTGTATAAGGGTGATGTTACTCACCCCTGGGTTAGAGGTTTGATCAGTCTATGTACTGTGTAACATGTAATAGCAACGAAAGGCCCAGATCCCTTGCCAGATAAATCATTATTCCAGACTACCTCTATCTCCTCCTGTCTTTCTTCTAGCCCACCCCCCTCACCTGTGGATTGAGAGTAAAGTTGTCACTACATACTACATTTACCCTAAATTCATCATTATTTTTATAAAATATTCAATGCAGTCTTACACATATAAACTTTACTCTTCTCAGTGACTTTAATTAGTTGTTCACTGTCTCAGCTCCACCACAACTACAAGGGAATAAGTGTACTGCTATTCACTAACATATAATGAATATTCACTACATGCAAAACACTATTCAAAGTGCTTTACATAATCCTCATGACACCATATGATGTCAGTACTATAATTATGCTCTGTAATAGATGACAAAACTAATGCATGGAGAAACTAAATAACCTGATCGATGTTCAAAGCTAGTAAGTAGCAGTACCGGGATCTGAACCCAGGGAATCTTAACTACACTAGAGCTGCTCATGGGTTTTCTTTAACTATAAAATTCTAGCAGTCGAAAGCAATGTGACAGTTGAAAGCTTATCTGTTCCTGGCAACAGTCTTAAGAAGTACACTTCATGTTGCAGATGAGGTGCAATAGCGGAGGTGTAGAAAGAGCACAGGCTTTGGAGTGAAAGATGTATCATCTAATCCCAGCTCTCCCACTTCTTACCCATTGGATCTTGAATACAACTTGCCTTTCAGGGTCTAAGTTCCTGTTGTACTCACTTTGCTGCTGCAGATAACGAATGATACACATAAAGCACTGGGCACTGGTATCTGGGAACCAATGTACATTCAATAAATTTTAGCTTTTTAATAATTTACAGTCCAAGACACTGAAGCACAAAAAGGTAGTGACCAGTGGAAAGGCACACAACTAACTTAGATAAAAGGTAGACACAGATCCTAGGTCCCTTGACTCCTGGTCCAGTGTCTCCTACTTCACCAAATAGCTTCACTACTCACTTCAATGTTAGGATAATAACAGATTAAAATCTCCATTCTCCTCATTTGTAATGGAGATATTGGGACAGAGCACTTGAACCATCTAAGATAGAGCATAAGAATGGGTTAAGAACCAAAAGTTCAAAACTCCTGTTTTACACTGATGAACATGAACATGCTATGCTGGGATATGGACTGGACAGTCCCCAAAAAAAATATGATCAGGGAGATACTAGCATTTAAAATCAAAACAAGGTGGAACTGGAGGAAAGGACCTTAGAGATCAGCTGGCCTAATCCTGTGATTTTTCAAATGAGAAAAGTGAAGATCAGAGACATGAAGAGCTTACCTAAGTTCACAAAACAACTTATTCCCTGTAAAACAGGACCATATGGATAAAAAAGGTGACTTTAAATTTTTAATTACAATAAAGGCAAATTCCCTCTTTCCGAACCAACCAAAGGCACTTTGGCTTTTGTTTCAGGGTTTTAAAAACAAGGCTAAGATATCTCATATTGTATAACATTATTAAAAGGCATAACACTCTAACAAACTTAAAAGTAGCATCTGGAAATTGGAGCCCAAATCACCTTGCTGTTGTAAATTAAGACAATCTCACTTTTCAATCCTGAAGCTCTAGTGTCACATTATGATCTTCTGAGAAAATATTATAACAGACCTTAATTTGGCCTCTCCCAAAAGGAAAGGTTAATGTGCTCCAGAATGGATGCACTCAACCATTCAGTTAGGAAAAGGCATTTGTGCCTATTTCCAGTGCCAGGTGTTTCCATCACTGTGTTCTCCTAGGGTGCAGAGTTGAAATTAACAGAATGGCACCTGCTATAGATGATCACACCGTCTGCCCTGGTGTCCCCAGAATAATTAGTCAAATAACTCAGGGGGGAAAAATTCAGTAATTATCTGAACTAAACGCAGGGCTTGGGTAAAATGAATTTCCATCTTCAGATTAGAGGTTGTGTTGGCCTTGAAACTAGTTATCTCCATAATGTAAATGAGGAATTTGAGGCTCAGAGATATGTTACTTGTGCAAACTCACAAGTACTTTGATTTCCAGTCCAATGCAATTTCCACCTTACCAACACCAATCTCCTCTCAGCATATTTTCCCCCCAAATACAAGGAACATTTATTTAGAAAGTCACAGAGGCAGAAAAAGTGAGACAGCTGGGCTGAGCAGGCTCAGGAAACAAGTTACAGAGGCAAAAGAAGGGCCCTTGGAGCTTAGAAATAATAGACTTGCTAATGGACTGGAGAGGGAGGAAAAAATCAAGATCAAATCAAGAAGAAAAATCAAAGATGATGCCCAGATTTCTAGTGTGGTTTCTAGTGTCTAGATTTCTAAATAGACAGTGGTTCATTTGCTGATATGGGAAAGACTAGAAGAAGAAATGTGGTAAGAAAATAAAAAATTCCGTGTAAAATGTAAATCAGAGATGCTGTGAGGTATCCAAATGAAGATATCAAGTATGCAGCTAGAAGTCTGGAGCATAGAAGGGGTACAGGTGATAGCCAGATGCTCCACTAGCCCTTCCTGTTAAATGCTCAAGATCATTTCAAATGGACAGGAGTTCTAAACCCAGCTGCTTTTCACCCTCAATCTATGCTTACCATAAATGCTAAGTTTTCAAAGCCAAAAGAATATACCTCTCCTTGGAAAATAGTGTAGAGAGCTGGCAAGTTCTCCATGGTCTCAGGTCTTCCTGAATTCATCCTTAATGTTCTATGGCTCCTCCATATCTCTTCTGCTAAAGCTAATTCAAGTGTCCTGTCACAAAGAAATAAGACAGACAACAATTTGAAAGACATCTGCATTAATGAAGAAAAAGTACAGACAATCCACAGCTATTCTCTACAGAGTAATAACACAGATTTAACACCATGTTCTTTTATCCAAATCTCTTTTGTCTACTTTAATTGTGGGGAGTTTTGGAAACCTTGATTTTATTTCTTTTCAATTTGATACTTACCCAAGGCCATCAGTCTGCTGTTTTGTTTCTTGTTTTTTTAAATTGCTATTGGTATTCTTTTGCCAAGGAAAGGTGTGTGTGTTGTTGTTTTTTG